CCCCTGGATTTGGTGGTGGTCCGGGGAGACCTGGCCCCGACTCTGTGAGCCCTATGGCGTCGGGGTAAGTTGGACCCCCGGCGGACCAGTGGCCGGGGAGACAAGCGCCGGCAACATGCAAGAGGCCGGAGAGGGGTGAGGCCTAACAGAGCTGGAGCTCAACGGGGAACTGCAGGAGTTGTGGAGGTGCAGGGGACGAGGGGTCCGAGGACTTTTCGGGGGGGGGGAGGGGGGGAGGAGAGTCTGCCGGGCTGCTGGCGTCCCTGAGTGCCCACAGCATTGTGGAACCCTCGAATGACCGGCCGGAGCAGGCCTGGAGGGGAACAGAGGAGATTAGTCGCACCAGGGGAGCTGGGGGGACCCTGCAATGAGCAACCAGCTTGGCAATTATATGCACTCCAGGCATAAGCCTGCGAGAGGACACAGCAGAGGAAAGCCCGCACAGATACCTCACAAGAGGCCACTAACCTCACGCTGGACATTCTTTACCACCGGGCACCACAACGCCACCTCCAGTGGAGAGACTCCCATAATATGGTTGCATAGACCCAGCTTAGGATACACCTTGTTACTGAAGTGTTTTTTGTTTTTTAATTTATTAATCTTTTTTTATTATTATGTATTTAATTTTTATTTTTTATGTTTCTACATTAATTTCATGGCATACCTATTCTGTAATTAACCAGAAGAAGCTATAACTACCATGGATAAGCTTTATCTTTGCTTCAAGATACCTGATTAATATAACACTTCTGCCAAATACGTTAACCCTACCATACGCTTAAACAACGGTTTAAGCTTCTATACAGCATTTATAGTTGAATTGTTATTTTTTAAAGTAATCCTTTACATTCATTACTAACCTAGCAGCCGTACACGCCTGATAGCGGCATTAAACGTTAAATACTTACATTAATGTACCTTGGCCTAAAACTGAATATGCTCTATAAGGTGCACTACAGGCATAGGCTATTTTGCAGGGGAAATTGATTACACATGATTAAGGATTGCGGTTAACGCCCCAGTTTGCTACACGTTTTACACTAATCAGTCCCCATGCTAAGAGGATGGTCCAGGAGAACATAGATACACATATATATTCTCCAAGCATAGGTATGCAGCGGATATAATGCTACTTAGCCACTGCATATACAGAAGTAATACGTTATATATGATGATAAATTGAGTGACTGTTTGGTAATTGAACTATATTCAGTTATGCTCATATTATTTGAAGTTTATGATTCAGCACAGGTTATTATGCACCCTACGGGGTCAGTCATCTAATGTCTGCATTTACTCTGAAGGGAAAATTGCATATATAGGGTTAATAATTGCCTCATTACGCAATCCGCAACGTACGTAATCAGCAATACATTAGAATGCTCATGAAGTGTTAATGACTGATGTTATACTGTAAAGCTACAACAGGCCTCTGCGTAGGCCCATGTACCCTAATTCATATATTTCAAAATGGGTCTCTGAGCAGGCAACGCTACATTTAATTTTCCCCTTGTTATGAACCTACTATCATACTACAAACAAAATAAAAAACATTCAAAACAATTTGGCCTCTGGGATTGCCTCAGGAGCCCCTCTAACCTTTAGGTTGTTTCGCCTTCTGGCGTCTTCTTGATCTGCGAAGCGGTTCTCATGCTATTGCAGGTCGTACGGCCTGTTGGAGCTTGCGGATGTCTCGAGTGTTAGTTGCGGATGTGAAGAGATATATTGAAGTTCGGGATAGTCTGCAGCTGCAGAACCTTTAAACTTCAATATAGTCACCAGAATGACACTCCAGTGGTTTCTGGGGCATAACCCCTTATAATTCACAGAAAGAAATAAAAAATATCCTCCTTCAAAACAGAAACAAAAGGAGACTGCTTAGAGATATGGATATAATCTGGATATTTTAGAAAGCTATACACAATGTAAATCTGTCTGAAGAACCAAGAATAGTGGATGAGTCAAAGCAAATTTGCTTTACTCGGACTAAAAATTAACTCACTTGGAATCCCTATAATAAAGGCCTTCTTCAAAGTGGCCAAGCTAAAGGGTAGGTTTTCAGTTCCTATAGTAAATGTGAACATTGTAAGAGGCTAGGCTGATAGAAATCTTAGATAGTAGACATTTGCCTTTGGATATATACCAAGTTGTTATATCTTGGTATGGTGATGTCTCAAAGTAGCACTTTTAAACTATCTGAAATAAAAAGCAGCATAGAGATGGGCTGTGTGTGCACCTTCGTCAGGGGTAAAAGATACACTGACTCTGCTTCAGCTTTTAAACTTATAGCCCCACGTGGGGTCCATGATCGGCAACCAATCAAATGCTGCTGTATAATTGTAATTAAGCGGTTTCGGGTTTGTAAGGAAACCAAGTGCATTTAAACCTCAATCGGTAGTTTCCTCGCGAACCGCCAGAGCCTAGTGAATATAGCCCTCCGTTCGGTAGTTATGGTAGACGAATCCCAGTGTAATTCCAATAGTGTCCCTGGATAATTCCCTCAGTAACACACACGAACTCCCAAACAGCATACGTAGTCAGAAGAAGGGTACAAAGATGAACTTAGGATTTATTGACAGGCATGCTCTTTTTATGGGATTCTGCCCATGCAAGGGAGCCTCCCATATAATTAACTGTACATCCAATCCTAACAATATACTCCTCCCCTCAGATAACCATTAAACATAATTAAAACGTAACAGAAGTTCCCCAAAGTTTGGATGTACCCCAAGGACTTGGGGTACAGACATAAATTATTCACAGATAGCTGTTCTCTGGGGGATCAACATATAAAAAAAAAATCAGTCCATTCGGTTCAGCCGTTCGGGAGATATGGGACTTAGAAGTTTTGACCGACTGCACGGGCAAAGTAGCCGAAAACAGTTCCATGAATTCTGGCCCTGCAGTCGGTCTTAGGTCGCATGAAAAACCTCCCGAACGGCCGGCCATCCACCTACCATCCTTGGTTCGCTTGATTCCCCATCTGTTAGTGAGTCTTTCTACCGAACGCCCGGTTGTTCGGTAGGGTTAAAGGGGTTTTACCGAAGGTATGGAGGATTCAGCTGTGTTCGCCTATTTGAGTGTCCGTTTTCAGTTCCAGACACTCGACGGCAAACACCGCTGTTCGGGAGCTAAAATGGCCGCAAACACGTGGAAGTCCCGAAATGGCAGCGGAGCAGGCCGTTCGTGCAGAACTTCTGTCGAACGTAATCCAGCAAGCAGGAAGGTAAAGTATGTATAATGGGCAACAGGGTGGACTTGATTCGGTAGTTTTACCTATCGAATGCCATAGGGAAAATTACGATCAAAGAAGGGAATACAAATTGTCAATTTACAGCATAAGAGGGGCATTTCTTCACAACTTCTAACTAACTTTTGAACTAATGGAAGGATCTGCATGATTTTTGGGTATGTTTGTATTTGGGATGTGCTGATTAATAATATGTGACACTTATTAATATTGGATGTATGGTTTTAGAGTTATGAAAGTTGGGTAAAAAGTGTGTTTTAAAATGTATGGATAATTGGGTTACCTCTCAGGCTAAGGGGAGGAGATGTGTGGGATGTAACCATTGTGCGATTGGTTGTACTGTGTCCCACCCTGTGGGATGTCCCCTTGCATGGGGACTTGCATAAAAGTCAGTATGTGGTCATTAAAAAGCAGATCATCTTGTACCTTCATGCAGTTTCGGCTCATGTTTGGGGGATTGGAGAAACTACACTCTGGGGATTGCTATAATCACTATACTCCCCAGGGTATAATCACTAAGCTCTGCTAAGAGCTTGTTCCTGTTCCTGCTCTCTGGAATTTGGAGAGGTCGACCTACTGGAAGCTGGACCCTGGTCTTGGGTCCAGAGTGGGTTGAGACGGCGAGACCCCAACCAAGCTGCGGCGGTTCGTGGGGTCTGCAGTGGTTATGGTGTCGGTATGGTGTATGTATTCAACATACAAACTACTATTTTGTGTGAGGTTGTTATTTCCTGACACAGTTGGTCACAGTATATCGATATCCATTACTCATTGACTGTAAAATTGACAACACATTGAGCAAACCTTATTTTTACTGTATAGTAATACTATGCATTGATGATAAAACAATGAATAACTAACAATATGAACAGGGAATAACACGGCACCTAATATTGGTAGTGCCATGGTTAATGCCCCTGCAGCCCTTTCAATAGTCTTTCTCCAAGTATAATCTAAAAGGAAATAAACACTGAGAAGGCTCATTCGATCTATGTGAGCACAGATACAAACAATACACTAACAACAGCATAGGAAGTGGTTCATTTGGTAGAATGCAACTAATTAAGACTTGAAAGAAACTGACGAATTTAGATGTGATTAAATCTTTAATTTTTTTTGTTTAAGCAGCATTCTATTCATCATAAAGACTGCAAATTATAATCATACTTCTAGTGGAAACGAATTCCATATGATAAATTAATTCCAATGTAAGATTCACTGCAATCCTCTTACAATAAAAGGGCACCCTCAGGGCACTATAGTGCCAGGAAAACGAGTATGTTTTCCTGGGACTATAGTGGTCCTTTAATCATCGAATAATTTTTATAGCACGCAACTTTTCCTTTCTTTTTCTAACCTCTGCCTGTCTAGCAAGCTTAACAGGGAGAGAGGCTTTATCTCTATGCTGCTTTTTCTTTCAGCTAGTTTAAAAGTGCTGCTTTGAGACATCACCATACCAAGATATAACAACTTGGTATATATCCAAAGGCAAATGTCTACGATCTAAGATTTCTATCAGCTTAGCCTCTTACAATGTTCACATTTACTATAGGAACGGAAAACCTCCCTCTACCTTGCTAATTACATTATATTAACCCTATGGATGCCCCTTAGCTTGGCCACTTTGAATAAGGCCTTTATTATAGGGATTCCAACTGAGTTAATTTTTAGTCCGAGTAAAGCAAACTTGCTTTGACTAATCCACTATTCTTGGTTCTTCAGACAGATTTACATTGTGTATAGCTTTCTAAAATATCCAGATTATATCCATATCTCTAAGCAGTCTCCTTTTGTTTCTAAGGAGGATATTTTTTATTTCTTTAGTTGCGGATGTGTCCTCAAGTGTGCGCATTCGGCCTGTCAGGCCTTGTAGGTCAGCTTGGAGTGCTGTTATATCCGTGAGGATGTTCTTTTGAAGTTCCGCCAGTAGTGTCTTTAAGACCACTGTGGTCACTGATGCGGAGTCCGGGCTTGCCTTGTTTGGTTGTGTCGGCAGCGCGTGAGTGCCTAGGTATTCTTCCTCCGTGTCTCCGGAACATTTGTCAAAGAAGTCAGAGCAGCCACCATGAAGCGCCGCCATATTGGGCCTGCTTGTCTCCATATTTCTTGGCTTTGCTTCCCATATTGCTTGGGGCGTACCCTCTGGGAGCTGGAAGTGCAATAATAAGGGGTTTTCCTCGGTTTTCTACGTTTGATGCTCAGAGCCTCCGGTTAGTGCAACCACTCGCTTCAGTCTGTTTTTACAAGTTTTGCAGACAGTTTCTGACATTTTTTTATATTAAAAAGGGACCATATAGGCAACAAAATAAAAACTTTCTTAAAGGGACACTAGTCACCAGAACTACAGCTTATTTTATTTGTTCTGGTAAGTATAGCCTGTTCCAGCTGACTTTTTGCTGTAAACACTGCCTTTTCATAGAAAAGGCAGTGTTTACATTACAGCCTAGAATTTACCTCTAGTGGCTACTCCTCAGACGGTGCTTCCTGGGTCAGTGCTGCAGTTTTCAGCACAGATGCTTAGCATCTCCATGAACTTTCCTCATAGGGATGCACTGATTCAATGCATCTCTATGAGGAGATGCTGATTGACCAGGGTGACGTTTAGCTCCGCCTCCCGCCCTGCGTCCTTGGCTGAGATCATCAGAATTGACTAAGTCACTCCAATGCTTATTTATGGGATATACATACACAAACAGACCAGCAGTTGGTCTGCAGCTTGTCCCCTCTCCTCCATGCCCACAGTGCCGGCCGCCGGGATGCAACATCACGCTGTATCCTGACAGCCATAAATTATGTGCATTGCATGGTGCGACTCCTGCTCGTCGCACCTCCTTGTGTCTGCCTGGCGGTGTACTTTGGCCCCAGCCGGCTCTACTTGAAGGTGGACAGTCTGTTAGACCATGGCAGGGCATCTAGAGCTATGAATTGCACACATTGTTTTTACGTCCATGCTCTCCCCACTTACATACATCAATGACCACCATTAGAATGACCTAGCCTTACCTCTGAGCCCTGATTGTTCTGAAACATCCTACTAGAGCAGTCTGTACAGGGGTCACATCTGCAGAGAAACAAAGAGTACATTACTGAAACCTTCAATTGCATATGTATTGTTTGTTCTGAAGAACTCCCTTGTACCCTAAATACATGCCCTGACAAATTTAGAAATAAAACTAACATCATTCCACATGATTAAGACTTTACATCTATTAGATGACCTCCTGATTAAAGGAACACTATAGTCTCCAGAACAACTACAGCTTAATGTAGTTATTCTGGTGTATATATCATGTCCCTGCAGGC